CAGAGCTAGGGTTTAAGTAGATTATTAAGTGTATATATTTGTTTTGTTTTCTTGTTAATAAATATTTTTGTTATACGAACGCTCTGTGTCTGTGGTCGCTGTGAGTATCCATGACGTCACAGTACACTCGTGAAATGGTCCTACGGGACAATCAAAGATTCATCGCGACCTGGGAGATGCTATATCTCTTGCGCTAACTACAACATCACATTCAAACTCACTTAAATCGTTATAACCTGCCATGGTAGCAGAAGTAACCGATCTAACAACTGTGCTAGACTGGTTATCTAATATAGTCTTGGCGACCGGAGCGCCGTAGTCTGATTGGGTCCAAATCTCTTTATTTCAATGCGCATAGCTGTACCAGATTTTTTGGCTCTTCAGTGTGTTTATAATATATACGGAACGTTACAGTTTAGTTTAAATATATTAAAAAACTGTTGTTAAAAGTCAAATTAATAAAACTCAAATTATTTTGGAGACACTTCAAATTCCTTGTATGATATGTATTACATTGTAAATTAAGATATCGAATAAAAATATAGCGTTCCTTGGGATCAGGCGCACGCTAGTGCTTACAAGCCCACGGTGTGGCCAGACGCGTTTTTCGTTTTTTAATCTAAATTGTTACTTCTTAATCAAAATTTATAAATAAACACATATGAATTTTGAAGGGATTTTATTCCACTTGTGAACTGGTCGGTGCATGAATGTCGATAACTGGGTGGACTCATGAACAATAATCCAGAGACAAGTGTTGTGAGATATGGACGACGAAAAATGTGGAAAATGGAAAGAAGGGCCCTATCGATCTCCACAATTCAAAGAGTGTTTCGCGCGCCGCTTCCAGACGGAAGTGTTTCTTGCGTGGGCCGGCTCGCAAGCGAGTTTTCTCGGGTATATACCTTGGTACACCTTGTTATACCTTGTTTTACTGACATTTGGTCCTCGCTGCCGCAGTTCATAATTAAACACTCCTATAGAACAGAAATTTTATAATATTGAACCAACCAAATTTTAACCTACACAATTTTTCTCTTATATTTTTTAATGGAAATGAACTAAGGAATACTTGTAGAAATTATCATTGTACAAAACCAGTACAAAATCAACAATATAATACAAATTTGAAGGAGAAACTGGAACTGGAGTTCGGAAAGATTTCAATTAATTTTTTTATTTTATTTTTCAATATTAATTATTTACGAAGAAATAATTAATTGTGAATTTTATTACCAACTATTTCATTACACACCATTGACTCTTAATAAGTATAAAATATAGTAGTATAAGCAAAAAGTATAGTAGGGGGTAAGAAGAGGGGTAGATATTTCAGAGCTCAAGAAAACTTCCACAGATAGTATTTCTCCCAGTACGTTGTCACGTACAGTTTTTGACGTAAAATAAATACACAACGATAAAAATGTAGTGCGGTGATGAATTTCTCTTCAGGCAATTCGAACTTGTTATCCATTTACGATCAGGGTGACAAAAGGATATCTTGGCTTAAAATTAGAAAAAAAACATTTAATAAAACAATAATCGGGATTGGCCGATATCGCTGGGCAGTGACGCTAACTGCCCAGTGAAGGCCCTGGCCTTTGGCACGAAGAGGCATGTCGAGATACGAATCTATTCTGGTGTGCGTGCACCATGGAGGAATGAGATAGGACAGCCACTCCGAGCACCGACTTCTGCTCGTTCTGCGCGGCACCAGTTGCGTCAGGAGCACGTGACCACAGCGCGGACACTTCGTTTAAAGGCCAGACTAGACTGGCCGCCATGTTACATGGAGAGTGAGAAGGGTTGAGAAACATTCTGAGAGCAGCATAAGGTGACACTTCTTAACGGTGACCAATCCAAAATAACACGATATAGTTGTACATGATGCAATATTTAAAAGAAATGCTTCATACATTTTGGTATGTACATTAAAAATTCCCGCTAATATTGTGAGGCAAAATGGTGCTTGAGCTCATTGGCTGAAATCAGATACGATACGCAAGAGCCCACGCATCTCTCTCCACCATCGATATTCGATTGCGTTTGGTACATAATCGATGTAACACATAGAAGATTTCGAGTTTATGTGTCGTGATTCAACCTGTGTTTAAAAAGTGGTAAAATATAAATACATTCCACATAAGAAGCAAAGATTTGTCATCAAAAATTTATAAATCATGCTGACTGTTTTCAATAATTTAAATATAAATTGTTTATACACTGGTGAATAATTTTCAATGACATTTTGGCGCGTATTTTAAATATTTGAACTGATAAAATTGCTTTTTAATTATTTTTCACTAATGTCCACATTGTTTAAAAATCTGAAAAAATTTAGTATAGAATGTTATGAGACACATTGGGAAACTGAAACAGTGCTCTCACATTATCACATCAAAAATCTTCTTTTTTATTAATTTTTTTCTATTTGAATTTGGCGCCAAAATTAGTTGACAAAAATACCTTCAAATTCAACTATTTTTCTCCGCCTCTTCAATTTTTGAGCGCCTGATAATGCAATATGCAGTATGTCTATTAAGCCCGTCTGAAGAAGCTGATTTTCGACACCAACTAAATAACTAGGTTGAATTCAGCCGCTGTTTAGAGGAGCATTCTAGCGACCGACTGCTCTGATCGGAAGTTTTGCATTGTTTATCGGATCAATACACAGAGCGCGCGCAATCATTCCTTCTTCTTCCTTATCATATCCCCACCTTATACACACACACACACACCTATGTGTACATTCACGACACTCACACACGTGCGGGGTTGTCCCGGCAGGAACGGTGTCTCGCTGCACTTATCATCATCAACTGAAATAATTAGACTTGTTCAGTCTGTTCCGGCTTCTAAAACCTTATCACTCCTTCTCAGTTGTCATCCCACATTTTTTTCTCCCTTTCGGCTGGTAGTTGAAAGCAATTTTCTCTATCCTTTCTTCGGACATTCTTAATATATCATTTTTCATTTTTTCTCTATATTATTTAATCATTTTTTATTTAATTATTACTATTCTTATTTCATTATTACTATTATTCTTAAATGTCATTCACATTTAAAACTTTTAATTCGTTTCGAATTTCTTCGCTTTTCTTGTTATCAAGAAGTAAATAACCTACTATGGTTTGAAGATATTTCATTTCAGCCGATTCTAATTTTCTAATTTGACCTTTAGATAATGTCCAACACTTCCGTATAACAGCATGGATAGGGTCATTGTGTTGTAGAGTTTAGAGATTATAAAATCTTTTCTGCCTTTATTTTTAAGAGTTGGAGCTATTGTGCCACAGAAGTGTCGATATCTGTCTAGTTTTACTTGTAAATCATTATTTTTATAATATCTTATTTTATAGCCATGATAATTAAATGCATTTACTTGTTCTATTATATTTTTTCAAAGGTTATTTTTGCTCTTATCGGCTCACAACCCCTAAATGCCATGATTTTAGTTTTGTCTATTGATATAATCATGTTATATTGCTTAGCTATATGATCTAATTTATATATTGCTTCTTGGATACTGTCTTCTGTGGATCCTGTAATGACTTGATTATCTCCAAACACTAGTGGTAATACATATATATATATATATATATATATATATATATATATATATATATATATATATATGTGTGTGTGTGTGTGTGTGTGTGTGTGTGTGTGTGTGTGTGTGTGTTAAATGAGGTAGGTGACAATGAGCACTTTTGTCTTACACCTCGGTTAATGATGGCACATTATTTTCCATTTTTTGTTGTTCTAATTTTTATTACATTTCTTCTATATAGGCTTTGTATAGCACCTCTTAAATTCCTTTCTTTTTTATGTTTCCCATACCAGTGTTCTCCTAACTTTATCAAAAGCCTTCTCATAGTCAATGAACAGGTAGAATGTTGGTAAATATTGTTCTCGTCTTTTCTTTGTTAATTGCGTAATTGTAAATATATAGTTACTGCAAGATCTTCCTCTCCTAAATTCATGTTGGGCTTCTGATAGATTATAGGTGTTGTGGTGAGTTATCGTTGGCATTTCTAGAGAAATAATTATATGCGTCGTCATTGCCAACAATATTATTTATTAAAAAAGCAGCTTTCGATGGATTAACCATCATCATCAGTTTTCTGCAGTATGAAAGCCACAAAAACGACTACTCGTTTACTTACTTCTTACTTACTTACTAGTCGTTTTTGTGGCTTTCATACAGCAGAAAACTGATGATGATGGCTAAGCCATCGAAAGCTTTTTTTTAAAATAAATAACATTGTTGGCAATGACGAAGCATATAATTATTTCTTCTGATATATTATTTTCCAAGATTGGTTATATTCTTCATCTTATTATATTAGCATAGATTTTATAGAAAGAGTTTAATAGGTTTATTCCTCTATAATTGTTCTTTCCCTCTTTTTGAATATAGCACAGATATATGCTTCATTCTATTGAACATGTCCTTCATGCCAACGTGTATTTATAAAAGTTACAACTTTAGGATTGAATACTTTATTAGTTATACATTCAGGTCATCTGTACCAGCAGATTTTTTATTATTACCATTGAGTACTTCTTCAAGGTTTTGCTTTTTATGTTGTCTACGTTGTAAATGGATTCCAACAATATTGCATCTGCTTAATCATTCGTCCATAGGTTTTAAAAATAATTTATCCATTCTTTTTCTGTTAGGGATTACTTCTTAGAGTATATTTTTCTTCTTTAATTAATTATTTTATAATTTTTTACGTCGTATCTTGCCTTCCATGTAAGTCAGTTCTATATCTGCTATGTTTCTCTCCCATCATTGGCGTTTAATTTCTCGTACTTTATTTCTCACAAGGACAGATTTCATTTTATATTCAATTTTTAAGTCTAAACTATTTCGTTTTTCGAATGTTTTTCAGTACGCTTCTTTCTTTTCATCTATCAGTTGTTTAATTTCTTCGTCCCAAACTCTAAGCCCCGTTCTTGTATACTTCTTTTCCCTTTTACCTAATGATTCGAATGCAGCAATATCTCTTTAATGTTTCTCCATTCTTCATTTATGTAGTCACTAGTTGGTGTAGATTGTAATTTTATATTAAATCTTGTTTGATATATCATTCTGTTACTTTGGTCTTGAAGAAGGTGTACTTTGAAAGTTTCAATAGCATTTTTTTATTAGTAAGGTTCTGGGGACAATCTCCCGCGCGCCGATGGGCAGCTCGGATCCTTCTGCGCCGTGGAAACCCAGTGGGAAGGAGCCTGTAAGGGAAAATTCCTCGCGCCACGGCGCAGGTTCTCCTCATACGGTGGCGCAGGAACACCACGCATTCGGGAAATAAACATTCACTACACTAACGGGACTTATGTCCGACGAAGTTGACGTGCTCAGAAGCATCAACCATTAAATGAGCGGAGGTCGGAGGCGGTCGTCTCCTTACTGTTACTGTCCGTCGTAAAACTGTCCCATTTTTTGAAAGTCTGATTACAATCATTAATATTAATATGTATATTATCTATGATAAAATAATGATCTATTAATGCAGTCATATTGATTCTATAGAGAGCTGCAAGGTAACTTCTAATGAATTTATTATTCCACTAGTTGCAAAACGACTATTTATAGCACAGCATTTCGAATACAAACGGAAGGCGTCGTTTGAAATAGACGAGTAACATGCACATATTAAGCTTTTTTTATTAATAATCATTATCACTTCTTTCTTCCCAACAATCGTAGTTATAAAGAATCTAAATTGGATACGGAGTTTCTAATACCAATATGATATTAAGTTGGCAGACGTTCATTTCTAAACAAAGCCAATTTTTGTATTACTTTTTCCAGCGATGTTTATTTTAGAGTTTTGTAAAACGATGCAATATAAAATGCAAATTTCTATTCAGTATTTCATTTTTACAGAAAATAAGAAATGTATTAAGGAAAGGATGGCTTTAAACATATCTGGGAAATTTTATTCCTATCCATCTGAAACTTATTGATAGCTATTTTCTTTTCAAAATAGGAAATAACGACACAAGTGTGAGTTGTAAGAGAAGCAAAGTTATAGGGATATTTAAAGAAATATTTTAGATACAGCAAGAGCATGGTTGTGGAAGTAAAAAAAAAATAAGAAAAAGAGAGGGAGAGAGAAAGGGAGAGAGAGGGAGAGAGGGAGAGAGGGGAAGAGATAGAGAGGGAGGGAGAGAGAGGGAGAGAGAGAGGGAGAGGAAAGCTCGCAGAATGTTTGGCAGAGACAGCTATGCATGTAATGCCTGCCGCTTGGGTAATGAATATCATGAGTAAGATATGTGAAAAAGGAGTTGAACAAAAAAAGTAAAACAGCGATGAAGCGCTAAATTGGACGGACGCAGGTGCCAGACGAATATATTGCCTGGAAGGTGCTTGTTAAAGAAATTGATGCGTTCTGGACAAGTGCCTGGCGGAACACGTGCTATCTCTCTCTCTCTCTCTCTCTCTCTCTCTCTCTCTCTCTCTCTCTCTCTCTCTCTGTCTTAGCAAGCAGTTTGCCCGATGCAAACACTCATGATTTATGTGTGGATCAGCGTGTTGTCCGGCGCATTCTTGTTTGTAATCTCTTTAAACGTTTCAGTGCTACAATTCCCTTCTCACTTGTATGTGCTAGCGTCCCCCGTTCCTGGGATTTCAATCTAAGCGCGTCCTATTTTCGCCGAGAGAGAAGATATACGGGGAGTGAGAGAGGCGGGCGGGGCCGGAGGCGGGTGGGGGGAGTGAGTTGTGGAACAAAGGGAGCGGGCACCGGAAAACGTGGAGGCGCGGAGCGAAGGCGAAGTTTGTGGGACTAACGGAACGGGGAGCGGAACACCGGAAGCGGATTGTGGGACACGGAGGTGAGGATTGGGCTGGAGAGGGGGGAGGGGCTGAGGGCGCTGGGCGCTGGTGGTGAGTTTGAGAGGGCTGAGTGGGGATTGAGAGAACGAAGTTTAGCTGAGCGGTGTCTGAGAAGGGGGATGTGGGGTTGGTTTACTGGATATGTAACAGGAGGAGGTGCAATAGGAAGTAGTGAGTGAAACACATGTTTCGGGAATAGAAATGTGGTGACTCGATTTTAGGCACAGAGACTTGGCAATATGCGGGGCACGGAGAGGGGGCCAGGGTGGAGGAGGCGGGCAAACGAGAGAGAGAGAGAGAGAGAGAGAGAGGAGAGAGTGCGAGAGGTGTTCCTGAGAGAGAGTGTGTGTGTGTGTGAGAGAGAGAGAGAGAGAGAGAGAGAGAGAGAGAGAGCGTAGGAACCGGGTGGAAGTGTG